TGGTCTGTGCCTGAAATGGTCAGGGCACTTGATGGGAATTTATCTGAATATCAAATCTGCCTCAAAATTCAGAGCAGTAATGGAGACTGCAGACCTTTTTTAAAAATAATTTTTAATATAATTTCATAATTAATTTATTTAGGAGAGGAACAATTCAGATTCTGGACCACACCATTCAGAAGAAAGCATCTGCAGAAAGGAACCCCAAACAGACGAGCAATTCCAAGAACAGACTGGATGTCACCTTTCCTGCATAGTCCTTGCATTAGGGTCTGTGCTTACGTGCAGAAGGTGGGTTTGGAGGAACATCTGCACCGCAGCGACCTGTTTTGGGAGCCCACAGGCCCGCAGCCAGGCCCCTGGGGCACACGCAGCTTGGGCTTGCCAAAAATACCATGTCTAAGGTATCTCCAGGTAAGGACAACAGCAAAACGAAGCTGTCGTTCCCCTTCCACGCAACTTGCTCCAACATAAAAAATACAAGGCGCTCAAATCCAAAGCCCCTTTGTTTACAAGGCCCAGAGCTTGATTGCAGATGTTTTATCTTCCTTGTTCATCACACCAGCCACTCTTGACCTTGTGCAGTAATTGCTTGCTTTGCACTCAGCAGCCCTCCCTCTGTTGCTATTTACATGCAGGATTGTGCTGCTTTGATCACTGAGCCATTTGTAACAAGTGTCTTCCAAGATGGATAGAGATAAGTAGGACAGTCCCTTGCTTTCGTTCATGATTAATATCCCAAATAGCTCTAGAAACATTTTAATCAACTCAGATGAGCGGAGACGGGGTTATCTCTGTTACCTAGGACTTCCAGGTGCTGGTCCTTCAGGAAAACCCGCTAAGGCTTCAATTTGGGAACGGGGATAGAGGAAGGGAAGAGGTGACACTTGGCTGCCAAGCTTCTGCATCAAGTGAAGCAGCCCTCCTGGTCCCACTGGGACCATAACGAGATCTCAATCTCTTCCTGTCCATAAAGCACAACCCACACGACCGGCAGCCAACTCGGAGCCATCTGCAAGCTCCAGGCAGAGGCAACTGCGGGGCCTACAGCCGCATGGGACAACCAGGAGCATCCAATGGGGCTCCAGAAGGTGAAGAGCTGCATTACGGACAGACAGCATCAACTTAAACCACACGCGCTCCACGTTCCTGCCCAGGATCCGGATCTGCGACTGCAGACACTCCCCTTGGACACATCTCTTTGTTTTTGCTCAGTTCCCATGATCTGCCCGGAGGAACACGCTCCCATTCACCACATAATTCAGATCAATTAATTTACACCGCTAGCCATTAAACAAATAGAAAGTCCCAAGAACTGCTGACACTTCCTTGTGGTGGATCATAACTGAAACCGGCAAGTGTCATATCTTCTTTTGTTCAAGAAGGCAGGCAAATTAAAAGCCTGACAGTGTCTTGGTATTCTTTAAACTTACTGAAGAATGCTACAAATAAGGCATTCAACTTAATAGGGTACTTGCAATGTTCACTTTCCAAATATAGAAGACAGCAAAAATACCATGACGACGTCAAGACTTGACTGGGCTCTACTGTTCATATTGTTCTTAAACACTGGGTTTGAAAAGGAATACAAGCCACAGGCATAATAGCTTGTATTAAAGGTTGTTACAAAGCTCTGTGTAGCAAATTAATTATATGGTTTATCATTGGTTTTAAAGTGTGTAGTGAAGGAAAACCCACACAACTATTTATTAATTAACAGCTAACTGTAATACAGTCAATTACTAACACTGACAAAGAATTTTTCATTAGGAATGTGTAGCTCAATTCCTCTTTAAACCAGGCTACGGGTGCAACACAGTGTAACAGCCTGTTTAATATACGTTTCAGATATCACTTCCCAACATATTTGGTCGGGAAACCTCAGAAACTCCGGGGGTGAGACTGGCATATATCATCTCATCCCTAGCTAAAACCCAGGTTTTGAAGAAGCAGGTAGGAGAGGCTATAAAAAGACAACAAACCCACTATTAATGTGCCTTATAAAGAAGAGAAGGTGAAAAATGGCACCTGAAAAATACTTTGTCTTATATTGCACTTGTGATTTTCAGTGCATGGCACAAATATTAACAAAATTAATCTTGACCATTTTTCTGCCAGGTGAGTAAGGAGAAGAAGCTTAAATTAAACAGCTGGAGTAACATTCACAGAGAGAGGAACGGATCTGCCAGCGGCCAAAGGGATGTGCAGCAGGGCTATTCGCCACTCCGGAGCTCCCTTATCCCACCGCACAAGCTCACAGTGTGTGAAGGAGCCCGTTCCCAGTCACCCAGCAAATACACTACACCACTATAAACTCTCAGATGGAAGGGACAACACCAAGGCAGCCACAAGCAGAATTACCTCCGTTATCTTTCTTCTGCAAGAGCTGTAAATCACTGCACCCTCCAGGAACATTACCAGCTACTCCCAGCTAGTAAAGTACTGAAATTTAAAGGCTTGCTTGGCTGTCACATTCCTCTCCCATTCATGAGACTGAAACAGCGCCAGATCAAGGTAAACCATAACTTACTTCTGAAACGATCCATCCCACATCAAGAAATGTAAGGCAATGGTAGTTTGTGATTCTGCCTGCACATTACACTGAATTTTTCCATTCACAAACCTCCAAGCACCCCTGCAATGAACTGCTAGTGTTGTTACCCCCATTTTATTGATGAGGAAAATCCACTAAGGAAAAGCAAAAGAAACGGCCCATGGTGAGCGAGCAGCAGAACCATTATCTTCTACAACCCCCTGCCCACGACATGGGAACACATCCCTGGGGAGAAACATCACTTCTGCCCACACGCTCTCATGCTTGAGGCAGGATTTGAGCCTCTCTGAAGTCAAGGAGAGTTGCAAGCCACAAATCCACAAGGTCATCCTCTAAGGCACAGACCTGCGTGACAAAGCTGGTCCCTAAGGTCAAGGTGCCTAAAGCAGCTCCTGGAAGGGAAGAGACGCTCCCAAACTTGAACCCCAGCCCTGACACCACAGAGACAGCACCCCAGAGGGCTTTAGAAAGACCTCAGCTTCCAACATCACCTGGGTCAGGAGGCATTTGAGCAGCCTGGTGCTCCTGTGAGGACAGCCTGAGGACTTCCTGAAATCCGTAAGGTCACCAAACCCTCTTGACTCATTTTCTGCCCTTAAGCCAATGCTCAGATGACTAACTGCTCCTTGCCACGTCGTTCTGCGAGAGCGCTCCGCCAATGTTTGTGCAAAGCAAACGTATCCGGGATGCGTGGCCGGCCTCTGCCAGAGGCAGGACAATACCTCCTGCTTTGCAGGAAATGGAAAAATCCCCCTTGATGGTCGTGAAATTCCCTCACGATGCCCGCAACAGCGCATGAGGTCCTTCAGGCACGAGACTGAGCCAACCCTTCGCTCCTCCAAGGAAGGGAAGCATCTCTGAAGTCAGACCACAAAGGGGAAGTTGTGGTTAAACTGCCCTTGCATCTCCCCAGGAGCAGCGGGATCGCTCCTGCGCCTTCCCCACGCTGCCCCACATTCACCGCGCCGCACAGGATCCTGCAGCCCTTTATCCACCCAGCTCTGCAGTTTTCCTTTCACAAACGCCTCGCACAGATAAGGCTTTCAATTCTCAGAAGCCAACTCTCTTTCCGAGTTCCTACTTTAAAAAGGAGCCTAATTTTTCAGAAGCTCTCAGCATAAATATCTGATATCCTAAGTGCATCACAGCACTTCCAGAGAAATAATCGTATTTGGGCACCTGAAGAATCTGGTATATTAGCCTCTCCTGGAGAGACGGAGCAAGAAAGGGCAGGGAGGAGAGACAGCATTCTCATTAGCCCCTGTTCTACCAAAAAGCATGTATTATCTTCGCTTTAACTACACATACTGAATATGCCCTGGTTTAACAGCCTCACTAGCTTTGCAAACATTGACTAAGAAAAATCTAAAAGGAGGCTTTGCAGTGTCACAGCTGCAGGCTATTTTTTTTTTTTAAATCCTGAAGTACAGCGAGTTACATATTTCAAGATGAAAAATCACACCTTCAAGTGCAAGATAATGCAAATTGGAAGAAATCATTTAAACTACTTGTACACGGCAAAGGGGAAAGAATTAGCTGAATCAACAGCTCAATGAAGACATCTGCTCAGCATGCAGCATCACAGAGCAAATAAAACACTGGGGCAAATTAAAGAAGGGGAAGAGAGAATAATGTGGATAAATCATAACGGCATCATAATTTCTCTTCCAATGGCAGGTTCACTCTGCTCATCTCATAGAGGGCAGGTCTGCGACACAGAAGGTTCAAAGAAGGGCAAGGAAAATGGTTAGGAATAAGAGATGCACGTGAAAAAAAAAAAAAAAAAAAAAGATTTATTTTATCTGGATAAAGTCTTCTAATCCGCAAAGAAAAATCCCTGGAGGGGATCTCACACCTCCAAAGGGAGGCGCAGGAGCGGCCCCAGCCCCGCGGGCGCTCTGGGGTCTGTCCCGACCCGCGTCCCGCAGCCCGCGGGGCGGCCCGGGGGGCGCTGCGGGCTCCCAACGCGGCCCCGCCGTTAATTATTAACCGGGAGGGCAGCCGGTGCCGCTGGAGCGCCGGGCGCGCGGCTCGGGAGCGCTGGAGCCGGGCGAAACCGCCCCGAGCCCCGACGTGCCCCGGAGCGGCAGCCCCGCGCTCGCCCCCCTGCCTCCACTGCCCCTTATTTTAAGGGAAAAAAAGGAAAAGGAAGGGGGGGGAGCAGGAAAGCTGCCTCGCTTCCCCGCGGACGGCGGCACCGGGGCGGCGGCGCCGCGGAGCTGCTGCGGAGCTGCCGCGGAGCTGCCGCGGAGCGGGGGGACGAGGCGGGACACGGGGAAGGGGGCAGACGAGCGGGACGGGGCGCCTCGGGGCGCCCCCAACTTTCGCGCAACTCCGTGGGCGCCGCGCGCTGGGGGGACGGAACCCGCCCCCGCCGCGCAGGTGGCGGCGCCCCCCGTCCCGTCCCGTCCCGTCCCGTCCCGCTCCGTCCCGTCCCGTCACTCACCGCCACGGCGAGCAGCAGCAGCGGGAGGCGCCCGCGGCGGCGCCGCGCAGCCCCCGCGCCCTGCCCCGCCACAGCCATCGCTGCGGGCTGCCGCCGCCGCTGCCACGTCTGGCCGCGCACGCGCGCTGCGCCGCCCGCCGGCCCGCCCCGCTGCACGCCGGGACTTGTAGTGCGGCCCGCGCGGCCGCGGGGCGGGGAGGGGGCTGCGCAACCGCCCGGGCCGCGGCGGCCTCGGGCGCGCAGGGAGGGAGCGGGGAAGCGACGGGGCGGAGAGCTGGGGGGAGCCGGCTGGGAGCCCCGGGCTGGGGGCCCCCGCGTGAGGACACCCGGGTGAGAGCACATGAACACCCCATGTGCGACCTGCACCACTGCAGCATGTGTGGGGTGTTCACCACAACACCCTGTGCGTGAGCTTCACCCCAACACCACACGTGCCGTGTTCACCATAACACCTTGTCTGTGACATTCACCACTGCAGCATGTGTGGGGTGTTCACCACAACTCTGTATGTGTGAGCTTCACCCCGACACCACACGTGCCATGTTCACCACAACACCCTGTGTGTGACATTCACCACAGCAGTATGTGTGGGGTGTTCACCACAACAGCCGGTGTGTGAGCTTCACCCCAACACCATATGTGTGATGTTCACCACAACACCATGTGTGAAATTCACCACGGCACGGGTGTGACGTTCACCACAACACCATGTGTGGCATTCAACACAACGCTGTGTGTGTGACGTTCACCACAACACCCTGTGTGTGGTGTTCACCACAATGCCGTGCGTGTGACATTCACCACGATCTCCCTATCCGAACGGCTGTATCCACATGAGGAACCAAGCCTGTGTCCCAGGCTGGACTGCTCATGGCTCTGCTGAGCATCCACGTCTCACTAGTGACCTCGGTGTGTGAGTGGGTCGGTCACGTTGCCACTGGCTTCCCAGGCAGGAGGACTCCTCACCTCCGGCCCAGCAACCATGCAGAATTCCTCCTTGGCTCTGCAACGTCAAGGAAAACCAAAGGCATCCTTTAGAGTCTGATCCTTACGGCTCACTGTCGCCAGAGCATCCGACTAAGAGGTTGGCTTCAAGGGAGCAATTTGTAGATCCGCACAGCTGACTGATCACTTCAAGCAGTCATCATGAAAACTGAATATCACTGACATTAACAAGTCCCCTGGCAGAGCTGTAATTTGGCAAAGCAGAAACACACGTAGGGAAAGTTATTCCTATTAGCGTTTACACTTTTGTGGCATCTTTTTCTTGTGGCAGGAGCAATGCACCCTTTCCTGTCACAGCTGGATAACCTTCAGCAAATCATTTCACAATTCTATGCCTCACTTGCTGTTTGCAGAAGGCCTCAGTTATCCAGCCTTAAAATGGGGTTAGTAATACTTAGCTTCTCCATAAAATGCCAGTGAATCTACACAACGGGCACAGCCTTGGAGCCGTTAGACTGAGTTTAGGAAGCACGGCTGGAGAGAGACTTAAAGGAAAGGGAACAGTAGGAATCTTTTCACACAGCAATGGAAAGACCCCAAACTAATCAGCCTTTTCCCCCAAGTATCTGCACCTGGAAGGCATATACTATGGATCTCTATCTGCACTCCCATTTTGTGCCCTAAAAACGTACTGGGAGTACTGAGAGGGGGGTCTGTGCTGGTCACTGCCATCACTGGTGCCAGCTCTCCAAGCTGCAATACTCGGCAGACCAGCAATGGGCTCAGGTCCCCACTTGAAGCCCATTCCAAATAAGCCATGAGGAATAGGTAACCCCTTCCAGATGCTGTTCACATCACATCCCTAGCTTGAGCTGAAAGGCTTCTCCATGCAGCTATCCTGCCTCATTCTCTAGTCTCAGCAGGATATCCAGCCCTGAAAGACTGTTTGAATCCTCCTGCGACTCTTTTGTGTGGAAAATTGTTACATCTTCTGACGCTCTGTATCACAGTCTCTGCTGTTAAACAATACAAAAGTCATCTCAATGTGGTAGGTTTTCTGCACTGTGTCATCGTGCTGCAGGATGTGCTGCCATTGTGGTAGGAGAGGATAAAATGCTGGGACATGGTTGTTTTCTGACAGAAATACATTTTTATCCTAATGGCAAGGGGAAATGTTCTCAGGAAGAAAGAGAAAAAGGAAGAAAGAGAAAAGAAAGACAAGTTATTTCAAACTGTGTTTCAGAAAGAATTATACCAAAAAATCCAGCTTATGAAACTGCCACTCTTACATACAAAACAATAGGAAAAGGGTATCCATGTAATAACTGCAGCTTTTTTCTTTCAGTTTGGCCAATAATTTGTATTGACATGACATGCATTGCCAAAATTTAAAAGACAAGATCATTGAGCATCTGTTTCAGGTCAAAATAATATATCAAGTATCAGCTCTGGACAGGGCTTTATGCAGTAGCAACTACTTAATCAATCCAGTCGTGCATTGCTAATAAACTCATTACAGTGGTTTCTGAGTGTGCCACTTGCCAGCATCCTAAGTTTTACTTCATCTCTACTTGACATTATTATCATATGCTCCCTGCCTCTCCATTATACAAATACCTAATATTTGTATTTGGCATCTCAGATCACCATGAAAGCATTTATTGATTCACCACTGTGAGGCAAGAGAGAATTACTGCCCCCAGATTATAGATCAGAAAACAGTGGTAGAGAGATTACAGGATTTGCCCAAGACTGTAAAGCCAGACAGATTCAGATCAGGATTATTTCCAGAGTTTGTGTCGGGATTGCTAATCCTTACTTGTCTGTCTAAATCAAAACACCTATTTACCATGAATAAAACCCACAACTGGAAGGACAGTAAGTATATCTGTAAGGAATGACACCGCCACTTTTTCGTGTGTGTTGCTGCTTTATTTACAAGGCTTTTCCCTTTGTTCTTTTTTTAACCTGAACAAGTTTCTAATAACCTCTTGTCAAATGGTAGAACAAGTCCCTTCACTGCAGAAATGACAGCACAGCAGCTAGGAAAAGATACAAACACCCTGCAAATCAAACTGGATCCAAGGGCCATGCAGTCAGTACTGGGACCTCCAAACTGCATAGCATGTGCCCAAAATGAAAGCAAGATTCCTTCACTGTCTTCAAATTTGGAAAGCTGTCCTTTCTTTGAGCACTGTCTCTTTCTTCCTTCAGTTCAGCTTCTGCCAGCTGGTTTTGATGTGTGGGCTTAGCTCTTCCGAGCTAAGCTTTGTGACATCTGCGTCGTGGCACTGATTGCATGAGCTGGAAAGAGACATACGAGCTGGTTGTCATCATCAGATTGATGGTATCGTAGCCGTTGGCTCCTGCTGACCTTTCCAGCAGCTCTTCCGTGCATGATGAGAAGAGACAGGACCAGCCCCTGCAGGCCCTCGCATGGGAGTGGGCTTGGAGAAGAGGCACAGCTGTACACGGCCGCTCTGCAAGCGAGGTCTGTCCGAGGCGAGGGCCCCCGTCAGCCTTCCTCTCCTCCAGCCTCCTCAGCACCTGCTGAGCACATCCATGCGTGTGAGCTAACAAATTCCATGGCAGAGCAGTAGCACGCCAAAATCAGAGATGGAAAAGCGCAGCTGTTACATGTAGGGTTGTTCCTTCAGTCAAACATCCTAGCATTACAGTTTTGCATAAGACTTTTTTACCTGATTTTGCTAACAGCACAAATATATCCTGACTCTCAGAGGACTGCAGTCTGTGCTTTTCACCTGATGTGCTCGCTGCAGTCAGCAGGAATGGCAGGAAGGCAAATCAAGGCAGAGCTTCAACCAAATGCTTCCCGTTAATGAGCTGTAGGGTTATCTGGCTGTATGTGGCCATATAACTCAGTGCTTCCATTTTCTGCATTACACCCCGTTACGTTTCTGAGGTCTTGAGGGACTGTGAACTTTTTGTACAGACCATGCACAACACAAAGAAGAAATACACACATGCTGTGCACTTTCATGGGAATCTTACTTTTGTACTTTATTGTTGTTGTTTTCTTTAGTCTAGAATCCAAGTACTTTTGGGCTATAGGTAGACAGTTACTCTTTATATATATGAGGGAAAAAATGGTAGGTACTGCAAGAGTCAGTTCCAAATATTTCCTCCTAGAAATTTTCCATTACCGTTTTTATTGCTTGCTGAGGTCTGCCTGTCCCCTTACATTTAAGTGGCCCTACTGCTAAAAACACTGTAGTTTCTTTCACTGAATATCCAAAGCCGGGTATAATGTGTTCCTGAGTAACATAAAAACCTTCTATAGTTATGGGCACCTTGCTGGCAGGCAGTGGATAATTTATGTCTTTCAGTTACCTGCCGAGAGAGAGGTTTAAACAAGACTAAAACAACCGCTGGAATGTGGCTGTTGTGCGGGGACTGCAGCACCGCTGCGAGCTTCCAAAGGGCTGCACTCAAGACAGTTTCCTAGAGATTTGCAGAATCTTTATAAATATTTTCAGGCTGTTTTACCTTTAATGCATCATCACAGAGGGGTTGAGCACTGAGGAGATTAAGGAGGCTGAGATTCGAGTCTTAGTCCATGCACAGCTCAAACATAGGATTCCTGCATGTGGGTTTGTGTGTTGTATGACTTACTGGAGGGGTGACATCTCTACCTGTAAAACAGAAATAGGTCCATTGTGGGGCTTGAATAACCCCCTGGATGGTGGTGGCACCCACATGCTCTAGTCACAGGGGCCAGCTGGCTACTTTAGAGCAATATAGGTCTCTTTTCTGGTGGTGAAATGTTTGCCTTCAATACACAAGTTCACATACAAGACCAGGTCTGCCGCGCTGCTCAGAAGTACCTCGGGCTCACAGTTTGCAGCAGAGAAGTAAATGGAGCTCCTCCTGTGAATACAGTGATTATGGTCTGGGCACACAAAATATTCATCCATATGAAGGACTAAATATAAAGATAGGTATATAAGGATATTACCAAAATATTGGTTGGTGTAAAAGGTGTTTGCTCTGCTAGCCTCAGTCTCATCCATCAGCTCAGCTACATCCATCTACAGTAGCTGAGCATTTGACTCCATATTACATCA